GTGTGAATACCTTCCGTACCCACTGTATATATATACACACACACACACACACACACACATACATATATACACAGTGTTTCCCATTCATTAACTAGACTGTGCCGGCCCGCCACTGTTTCATAATAAACCAAAGATATATTTATACTTCTCAGATAACGTAACAGTTCTTTAACATTATGTTTCACGCAATTGCATTGGCAAGCATCCGTCAAACGAATTAAAACCAAAAGTGTAATATGACTTATCAAGTCTGTTTGCGTTGCTTGTTTCAAAGTGAAACATACACTTTGCGCACGCGATCAGCTAGTGATCTGGTGTTTTCCGCGTCTCAGAGCGGCTCCATTCACAGTGAATGCAATGAACTCCGTTATTGAATGTGCTGTGAGTTTAGCGCGTGTATGGGAACGCACCGTCCACCAGTTTCGATGGCATTTTTTCCCTTATCACTGCTGATCCATAAGCACCACCTGCTGTCAGAGAGTGAATTTGCGTTTTTATTCAGCCTGTCTGTTTTTGTTTCATGCAGTTTTTATCTTTGCATCATTGTTTGTATAGTGATTAAAATGCAGTGGCTGGTTTTAATTTTTAAATGGCTTTTTTTAATTAATTAAATATGTTTAGTTGTTGTAGTAGTAACAACTACCCGTTTTTTTTGCAAAAACAGTTTCATGGCAAGGAAAACATTTATGGCCAGTAAATTTTCTCAAGTGACCAGCCACTGGCAGATGTGAAAGTTAGTTTTAGGCCCTGCTTGCAAGTATAGAAAAAGTATTGCAATTTCCCTACTTTAGAGTAAGGTAAAATAATATACCTGAAAAAAAAAATCATTTTCATTTATTTCACAGTGCAATTGTTTTACAATATATGGCTATTACCGTCATAGGAATAATAATATAAAATTATTATTATTTTATTCTAATTTGTTTGGCTTCCAAATTCACCAGTGAGACTGAGACACTATATCAACTAAAAAGCGGGTTGAGTCCCCTATAAATTTCAAGAATAAGTACATTCACCAGGTTTTTTCTTTTAGTTTGCACACTGAACTTGTGTTGGAGCTCTTAATTTTGAATGCCCCCGGACCCCCCTAGAGGGATCGAGGACCACCCACCACAGTCTCACAAAATCCTGTGGGAAACACTGTATACATATACATTAGGGGTGTAACGATACACGTATTCGTATTGTACCGTTCAGTATGCAGGTTTTGGTTTGGTACGCATTACAAACCGAACGATTCATTGGACTAATCCTATTACATTTGGAAAATAAAATATAATGTGTGAAATATAATGTTCAGTGCCACTGCGCTCAACAAGGCAGCCCAAACGACTAACAGCCCCCAAAGAAAAAAACACTACTCCAGTCAGGCATAGGCTGGACTAGATCTTTGTTGCAATATGGCTAGTAACTAGGGTTGGACAATAATTTATTATCAATATATATGGCAATGTAATTTTTTTCAATAACGGTGATATGATTTTTAAACACATTTCCGATATTTTGATACACATTACCAGTGTTTCCCATACATTGATTTATTTGTGGCGTTTGACTTCGTTGAATAAATATGAGCACTGCACGTTTCAAAATCAAAACGCAGTGCAGGTGTTTTAAATGAACGTCTTTGAAGGGAAGATCTATACAGAGTCTTTTACATTTATTTGACAGTGATTTCACTTTTTTTTTTTTTTTTATGAAGGCTAAATACAAATAAAAGGTCAGCATTAATTTATTTGTGCAGTTTTTTCCCCCTAAAATATTATATAGTTTTATAGGAGGTTTCATAGACTTGGCCAATTCATTTTGCAGAAGTCTGTAGGTAAAGACATCTGTTGTGGGCATTCTTGGCAGTTTGAGGCTTTTTAAAATATTGTTCCTATCGATATCAGAATTATGGAACTAGAGGAAAACAAGGAGATAAACACTCTACAAACTATCCCCGCAGCATTTAGGCAGGCATTTCCAACTGATTCATACAGGGCAAAACAAATCACTGTAACAAATCATGATAAACATTTTTTTTAAAAATCAAGGAAATTTCTCTGGCATTTCTTTCTTTTTGAAGTGAAACATCGAACTGAACTGTGAATTTTGTGAACCGTTACACCCCTAATATACATATATATACACATATACATATATATACACATATACATATATATATATATATATACACACACACACAGATGCATTTAAATTATATATATATATATATATAATATAAATGCGTGTGTGTATGTATGTGTGTGTGTGTATATATATATATATATATATATATATATATGTGTGTGTGTGTGTGTGTGTGTGTGTTTGTGTGTGTTCCTCTTCATCAATATGTTCTGGTTAAACTTTTACCACTTTGTCTATTTTACCCCTGCCTTAGCTCCAGGCCGCTGTGAGAACAGACTTCCAGCACTTTACTGAGGACCAAAAGAGAAGAGGAGCACATTCGATATGTCCTCCTGTACAGGCTGAAGCCCAAATTCAGCCATGGACAAAAAGGACTGTGAAAACACAAAAGAGCCAGTGCCGAATTTTAATTAGCCACTTAAAGAATTAAAGATTCTGCTCCCAGTTGCCCTCGCCTTCTTAATGACAAGGAACTTTGAGCCGCTTTCCCAGGCACTCCGCCAAAACACTCAGTCTATTCTTTTCTCTCTCTCTATCTATTCTTTAATTAATCTGCTTTTCTCATTTGTAAGGGTTTGTTCCAGCAGCTTCACTGTTTGTGCTCGATGAAAGAGAGAATGACTCTTCAACACAAGATAGAAAACTCCAAAATTCTCTCTGCTCTATTGTCACTCATGGCATCCTCTCTGTCAAAACCATCTGTTCCTCGAGACAATGGTGTCATGTCTGTGAAAAACAGCCCAATTCAGGGCTTTATTTCATTGGCCATAAAGCTTAATGTGGCTGGAATGCTCTCAGATATCTGAGCTATGCTGCTCACCAGAAGAATCCAAGCTTGAACTATCCAGTACATACTAATGAGTGTGTGTGTGCTGGTGTTAATTTCACACTGGACGTGGTGATCAAGGATTTTTCTAACTAATAATCTTACCCAGAATTCCAGAATGGAAAAACTGGTTAAAACAGCTCAATATAATGTTTATTTACACAAAAACTCCCCATACAAACCTCAGGCTCATGACCAACCACACTATCAATGTACAAGAGGACACAGCAGGTAGATTCACTTATAATGATAATCGGCATTAATGAAACCTGAATCATTAATATTAACAGAAATCAAAATGCCCAGAACCGCCAGCCTCTCATTATCGCTTTAAATAAAGCATTTTGGAATCTACAGAATTTCTTGTATCGGTAAAGGTCTCTGGGAATGAGGGGAAGTGTCTCTTGGTGTCTGGAAGGAATAACATCGAGATCATTTACACAGTGATTCAACACTTTCTTTAAATTCATTTGTTCATAGGTTTAAATGTCAGAATTGTCCAGAGGGCTCGCTCTCTCACACATACAGACACACACACGTTTAAAAACATTAAAATTTATACTACGTTCAAATGTATTATTTCTGTATATATATTTAAAAAAAAAACTGTTTAAAAACATGTAAAAGCATTCTAACAGGAAATAAGAATATACATATTAACTACAGAAATTTTGTCTTCAAATTAAAGGTCCACCGAAGAGCCTTATGCTATGCAGCGTTATGCTATGTGGTGACATAATTTCAACTGAAACAGGAAGACAGGGCAGGACATATCGAGCAGCCCATTTTTAATTGGCCAAAAGAGTTTCATTTATATTCGAAACCAGACTTCTTTCAACCCAATGGAAAGCATATTTACACTGTCAGAAATCATTCCTTATTCCCTATATAGTGCACTATGGGCCATTCAGCAAAGAGAAAATACTAATTCTGTGAACAAGTCACCTATTTCAGCTGCAGTTTCAATGTCTATTTACAGTGTAGGGGGCGGGACATTTGAGATTCTAGACAGCATTTGATTGGACAAAGTTTGATGAGAAGCTGAAGTGCAGGGTGATGTCATCAAAACCGTTGATTCATTTTGCCGGAAGTGAGAGACTAAGTTTTGAATGCTTATATCTTCTAAACACGTTTTGGAGCACACTAGCTTATAGATAACTATAACTATATAACTATATAACTATATATATTCATACTAAAAGCCAAAAGATTTCAATTTTGATTTCATGGGGACTTTAAATTCTAATTTAATTTAATTTAATACATTATTTAGAAGCATATTTTAAATTTTATTTAAAATAATTTTAAAATAAAATGTTAATTCAAAATAACAACAAAAATAAAAATAATAACAATAATATTTATTTATTCATTCATTCATTCGTTTGTTTATTAACAACACTAAATTGTCTATTAAGGTCAGCTGACAGATTCTGGACACTTTGTACTATTACTTCCTGTCCCTCTGAAGTGACTGCGGCAGCACTCGTGCCAACTAGACTGATGATGCATCTTCACTCTCTCTGTCTTTCTGTCTGTCTCTTTCCCAGCAAGTGTGTTAGCTGTGCCCTTAGTGTGAGTGCAAGGGTCAAATCTTCCAGCATAAATCAACGTTGTCACTTCAGTCCTTTGTCTAAAAAAAAGAGAACACACAGTTTAGTCTCCGAGACGACAAATCCCACTAAATTATTGTTTCTGATGTGGGAGACAGATAAATGCAGGTTGCACATGACTCATCATCTCACAAAGCTGACACAACTGCAGCTAGACCTAAATTATGTCAATTAAAAATCACCTGACTTTGAATTGGCACTGTTCTCAGATGAGTCCTGTTATATTTGCAGCTTGTGTAACAATGCATGAAAAAACATTGACATGACAGAAAGACATGACTGTGAGTCAGTGTTTCCTGTGGGCAGAGAGAAGCTGTCAAAGTACTCCCAAACCCTAAAATGAGCCTCCACTGTCAAAGACAATATTCAAAGGCCCTCCATGTAGATATTTCTGATACCTCTGCTGTAAATTCCATATATATATATATTCAATATACAGTGCACAGCATAAATGAGTACGCCCCCTCTGAACCTTAACAAATTCATCAATTACTCTTTGCTTAGAAGACATGTTATGGTTTTTTTAGAGATATAATATTCCAGCAAGTATGCTTGATCAGTTACCAAAGAAGAATGTTAAAATTATTCAAGAAAATACAAGTTTCTTATCAAAGTGATCAAATGTTGTGTTGCAAAAATGAGTACACCCTCCTGAAAGTTACTAAATAAAACAAAACCAAAAAATTCTGGTGTAAGGTTAAGGCAAGTATTGATCAACAGGTAAGTATGTTGAACCAAAACTGTTAAAGGTAAGTAATTTCTTGATAATTAAGTGTTATATGGCCCACTGAATCATTATATTAGTGATCATTAAGAAAATACATCTTTTATATTTAATCAGAGGGGGTGTACTGGGGGTGTATTTATGCTGTGCACTGTATATACTGTTTTAAATTGTTTCATGCCATCTTGCGGCCCCCTCAGTGACCAATCAGAATCGAGACCCATGCAATACATGAATGTATTATTATGCATGGTAAAACGGTGTCATTTATTCCCCTTTTCATGGTGTGTAAGAATGTGTATGTGTGTGTGTGTATGTGTGTGTGTGTGTGTGTGTGTGTGT